AATTACAAGATTGTTCATACGCCAGGACGGCAAATGGTGCAAGCGGACGCACTTTCACGGTTGTCCGAATTAGACAATCGCCAGGATAACAAGTCACCTGCAATCCTGCTACCCGACGATCTCTTTATTGGTGCTATCGATACAGATATGGCAGAACAAATCCGACAAGCACTAACAAGAGACCCATCGGTACTTGCATATAAGGACGGCCTAATGGAAGAACTCCCAGTTCCACGAGGAATGACAAAGGACGACATCAAGGATGCTGACAACGGTTTAATTACCATCCATGGACGCGTCTATGTCCCAAACAATACAGCCTTGAAGAAGGAAATTGTTCGGCGATATCATGAAGCCACTCCCCATGGTCATCCAGGAATCTGGGTTACGCATCAGTTAGTGCACAAAGATTTCTGGTGGCCAGGAATGTATCGCTTCATCCAAAGTTACGTCAATGGATGCACCACCTGCCAGCAATCCAAAGCTGTTCGAAACAAGGTCAAAGTTCCACTACAGCCCATCGGCCCTTCGCCCAATGCGCTACCTTTCAAGCAAGTTAGCGTGGATTTTATTACAGATTTGCCGAAAAGCGAAGGCTTCGATTCAATAATGGTCATGGTAGACCATGGGCTTAGTAAGGGGGTAATTCTATGGCCCTGCAAGAAGACGATCACTGCTTCGGAAACCGCCGAGCTATTCAGACGACAAGTTTGGAAACGCTTCGGGTTACCCGATAAGATCATCTCTGACCGTGGAACGCAATTCGCATCCAAAGTATTTCAAGCACTGTGCACTGCACTCAAGATCAAGTCGGCTATAAGCACAGCTTATCATCCGCAGACGGATGGTGAAACGGAGCGAATGAATCAAGAATTGGAAACATATCTTCGAATGTACTGTGTGGAGCAACCGCATCGATGGAATCAATTCCTATCCGAAGCAGAGTTCGCGCACAATCTCCACACTCATTCAGTGACAAAGAAGTCACCGTTCGAAATATGGTATGGCTACGAGCCCCGAGGAATGCCAGAACTGTTTCCTCAGGACGAGATCCCCGACGTGGATGCAAGACTCAAGCTTCTCAGCATGGTTCGCAAGGAGGCCACAGAAGGAATCGTCAAGGCAAAAGCCCGTGTATCCGCCAGGATCAAAGGAGGATCTCCGACGTTCAAGAAAGGAGACAAGGTCTGGCTGGAAGCCACCAATTTGAAAAGACCTTACAAATCAAACAAACTAGCGCTGAAGCGAGAAGGACCATTCAGGATCAAGGAGGTTCTGGGACCACTCTCGTTCAAGTTAGACCTTCCTGCGACATGGAAGATCCATCCGGTGTTCCATGCAGCATTGCTCACGCCATATCGGCAGACCAATACACATGGGAAAAGTTATTCAACACCGCCTCCGGATCTTATCGAAGGAGAGGAAGAATTTGAAATCGAGTCTATAATTGGACACCGACTACGGCACAGCAAAAATGAATATCTGGTAAAATGGGCTGGATATCCACTCAGCGAAAGGTCGTGGGTAAAAGAAACAGAAATGGGCAATGCAGGAGAGTTGCTGAACGAGTATAAAAAGGAGCATGACTTGGCCTGAACCCTCAGTCCATGCCCTCATGCCTGTGCAACATCCCGAGTTTCTCGAATCTGCTATCACCACTTTTGTGCATCTTATCGAAGTTCTCAAAGACGTCGAATCCCACTCCTCCCACGATCATCGTTACCAGGTCTTCCAACAGCTCGGAGTCTATCTCGCTATCAGAGGGGCCGGATTCACCATCGAGGATCTTGCTGACTTCGACCATACTAACGTCGAGTTCAACACGACCCATCCAAGTCATGATGGACCATCTCATCCAGAGAGCGGACGACGTCCACGAAGTCCACCTCCTGGACGGCTTCAGGTCAACTCGACGACAGCCATATCTAACCCCTCGCCCCAGCGGGCTAATCAGAATCCCCTACCCGTTTCCATTCCAAACGGACAAGCCGAAAGTAACGCTAGAGGACGACGTCGATATCGACCTAGACGGAACATGGGGAACGTTCATGAGAATGAACTACCCAATGTACCTAACGGAGGAACTTCACCTGCCCCGGCTAGAGCCAGATTGATGCTGGACTATCCTAACAGCCATCTACGCCGGCCTTCCAGTGGGAATCCTCCCACCGTCGTATGCTCTAGATCATCCGCTACACTTTGATATCTTACCGGCAGCACTCTCATTCGCTCTGGATGCATTCAGTGTCATACACGGTACCGTATCAAGAACAATGACAATACCAGCAGAGGAACGTACGGGAATGGTGAACATTCACATCACGGACTGGTATGAAGAAGAGGAATGGCTACTCGAAGGTATAAGTAGCGGCCCTCCTTTCCCTCTACTGGACCATCGCCTCCTCCTACTCGAGTGGGAACTTTACGAGGAAATTTACCCTTGGGACAAAGAGAACTGCCCCGCTCTACCACCTCCACCAATGTCACTCAACATCCGTGTCACCACCACTGTCACTTGCAGCGCAGCGGAGCCAGGACTATTGCTCGACAGCGATGGAGATGAGCTCCCACTTCTAGGCAACCTTAGCGATGAAGCACTGGCTGAGTCATGGAGGAGTGCACGGTGGGGAGATGATGAAGATGAGACAGGTCGTTGGACGACGGGAGGCTCTTGGACGACAGGGAGAGCTTGGGGTGGCGACGATGAACAGGCAAGGAGTGCCGATGATGAACAACCCGGCTACCCTCACCATCCTGGTGCCACCTACCCCTACAACACCACACCCAAGGATGGATCGCAACCTGCCCCGGCTGACACCATTAAGGAGCAGATAAGGTACGCTCAAATGGTCAAGTCTTCGAGCAACCCAGCGGCAGGGCAGGTATCGCTCATCGCCCTGGACGTAGCATCACCCTATGATGTCTTCATTGCCATGCCACTAACATTTCTCATGGAATGTGATGGCCATCGACTCTACGTCCATCGTACTGGCACGGGCGACTTCGCCACCTTTCACACCTTCGTCTTCACTTGGGACAACCAGAAGGTCGCCTGGCATCTCTACTCAGAAGACTCACCTCATCGCGTCTTCAGTCAATGGGTTGCTCTTCTCTATCCGCCACCCCTTCCAGGCATGCATGATTGGCATCCAACACCCAACCGGACGCGCATCCTCAGCGTTCGCTTCGCGGGCAAGGAAGAAGGCGTTGAACAATACGAGGTCGAACTTTTCAGGACGTTCTCCGATCAAGTCCACTACGGAGATGCCAAGACACCTCGTGAGTTCACGCTGGTCATCTTCCAACCCCTCGTCGCCATGATCGAGAAGCCTGGGTGGCTTACCGATGGGGTCGAGGCACTGAAGGTGGTCCTTTATGAAGACGGGTCCATCTCGCACTGGGCACCCACCGAGTTCCATCCTCAACCCCAAGAGGATCTCGACGAGGAATGGGAGGTCGTACCTCATACCACCATCCCAGTCTATGGCCATGTAGGTGTCCGCGGCGGACGATGAGGGGTTAGTTTGGTGAGTGGTCGTCAAGGGTCTTGCTGGTTGGAAGGGGGAGCTTGTGTTACGGTTTCAGCGCTTCATGGTCACGTGACAGTTTACGTTGCACGTGACACTTACTATTTATGGTTCATAGGTCTTGTGGACATATGCTAGGGTTAGCAGTTTTCGTTTTTACGATTTACTCACTCAGGCCATGCAAACTAGACCTTCGTGTTTCAGGTTTCTATTTCACCTGTACTAACATTAGCTCGCCAATTACTTGGCTCGCAGCGGTTAGTATTTGTCTCGTCTATTTCATTTACTTATGAATAGCTGTAGGAGACCCCTTGTACTAGTACCCCAGACTATAGGTCTGCAACTATATAAAGGGGCGGAGCAGCAGCTGGAAGATAACCTCTTCCACCTGTGACTCTGAACGTTCTCAGTTCTAGAACCCTCGTGCAATCGTACTCGCTCTCAAGAGGTAGTAAGCTTGTACACTTGCTAGAGTCAGAACAGCGAACCTAGTAACCTGCGGGTGAATGTGCAGTAGCTGTAGCGGCCAAGGCCTAGCAAGGGTAGAGTGAGGACCTCACTGCTACATCGTCTACTAGGCTTGACCACACTATAAACCCTGCTAATAGTCTGCCTGACTATTGGGGATGTTAGGTATATTTGGTATCTAAGTCTCTGTCCACGGTGTGGACTAGTACGTGTGAGAAAGCACACGTTTCTGAACGTTCTAGCAGGGAACGCTTCATAACAAGTACTGGCAATCATCCTGCATTGCTCTGGGATTCACCAGTGGTGGTGAGCAACCCTCACACGGCAGCAAGTCTGTCAGTAGGGCTTACAACTACGTGGATGCATACCCCTCAACGTTCTAGAAATGCCTGTGATCCAACCAGTTCAGGATATTGTTTTCCCCTGAAAGTATTTGTCCACTGACATTCTCGCTTTTGCAGATCCGTTGCATTATTTTTGTGGACTTAAACGTATGTTGCTATCATTATTCGACTATCTCACCGTAAGCATCTTACACAGTGGTGTTGTTGCATTAGCGTTACGTTATCTGCCTATTTTCCTATTGGACATGTAGTTTAAATCAAAGAACTTGATGTCTGCAACGGTCGCCATTAGACTTATCTGTACATTAGTGCGCTCTTTTCATTTTTATCCGACCACGAACTCTGCACACACTTCTGTGACCACAATCTGTCTCATCCAACTAATTCATCCAATGGATGATGCAAACGTTGCTGCTTGCACCGCAGCTCCGCATGGTCGACCTCTTTACTATGCATATTCAATCGCTACTCAGAAGTGGTCCAAAGTAAATGCGTGCGATAAAGATAACTACGGTGTACAACAATTATGATAGCTGCTGCAGTTTACATGGGTCCAACCAAGAGCTAGACAACTGAAACTATCGAAAGCATAGATGGATATGCAGATGACATAGACCATGGGTGAGGAATTATGAGATATACTGTATTCACTACTGTCCCATCACATGAAGTTTAGGCTGGAGAATTTAGATAGACGTCCCTTCATAGACCCGATACTGCCTATATTTGATCCCGTCACTGATGCTGCACCTGAGAGTGTCGTGATGAGCATTCCATTGTTCAGGTACGAATCTTTCAGAGACTCTTCCGAAATACTGTCACTGCCAACATCTCCAGGTCCAGCTGACACATCGTTAAATCCATGTTGAGCCAAGTGTGCCAGACGTCTTTGCCATGGTGTCTGTTTGGATGACATTTCCGCAGGTTGGCCGATATCTGAGTTTGATCTGTTGGACAGTGGAGAGAGAGCGGGGGAAATGGCTGCATGCACTTGGACGCGCGCAAGTCCAAGTTGAGGCCGCCCGTTAATGAACAAATATCTGAGTCAGTTCCCAAATATGTGAGGTATAACATCACACCCACATGTGACATTGAGATTGAGCCAATGGCCATGACGCCGACGGAGAAGGTGTCAGCAGATTGCGCGACGACTGACCAGAGTCCATTTCCAATCATTGAAACTCCTCTTAGAAATTTTTGCGGAAGAATTTCTCAAGTGTTCCATGGAAGGACATCATCTCCGGAGGACACAGTTGTCCATGCAGTTGTAGACAGCTATCAATGATGTGGGCCTGATAAAGCCAATCGTTCAGATTGACCTGACGCAAACCAGGGGGAACAATTCACCTGATCATCAATGGCATTATGCAAATTCTTTATTTCTTCTGCCCTATCAGGATGTTTTGAGATATACTCTTCATCCAAGTATGCCTGTCAGGATGCCCCAATACCACTACCTGCTGGCACGTCGATGATGGTGTTGAGGTTCATAGCTAGAGAATTGGTTGGAACAGCCTGCGATGTCTTGGCGAGAATAGAGTATCTCAAATTCAGTCCAGCCACCTCGCACATTTTTTCTTCCACCTCTTGAATGGCACTTTGAACAGGTGAAATTTGTAAGATCTGCATGCCAATTACTTCAGAATGACAGAGAATGGTGGAAAATGCCTCCTCCATGGTGAGATACATTTTCTCAATCCGTACTTCTTACGAACCGTCAGGCGATATTCTTGTTGCTGGCCTTGAGTAGCTGAATAGTTTAATCGCACTGCGAATGATGTTTAGAGGGGACACCTTCAAGGATTATATTGATTGCGTTCTCCGTACCTGTGTTCGTGATATGCCCGGATCTGAGAGGACACGTCTGGATTAGTGAAGATGGGCAAATCCTGCCCGGGTCCGGGAGTGACAGTGGTGTATTGGATGTACTGGTCAGTCCCAAAGTGAATGTCAACTGGTAGATCTCCCATGGGCTTTAGAAGCTGGACACTGGGATGCTTGTTCAGCATTCGTTCGCAGAAAGCACCAACTTTTTCTCATTCATATCTGCGATACTGCCAGGCAGTAAGTCATCTGCCTACATCTGCACGCATTGGAGTGAGACATGCACTATGAACTGTTTGTTGTGAATAGCGGCAGGGAAGCTGCCATAGAAAGCCACTCTGAAGTAATCAGAATAATAGCGCTGGTCGGTGACGATACGTTCCAGTAGGGCAGCTTTATGATGCAGAATCTCTGCGAGCCGAGCGCTGGTGAAGAATTAGTCATTTAAAAATCGATCAACAGAGGAATGTGTACTAGTTGAACATCACCTCGGCATGCTGCACTGCCAATTCCTTGCAGATCTCGATGGTGCTCTCCCACGCTTTACCCTTACCTAGCACTACAATCAGCTTGGTCAGGAAATTGCATATTACACTCATATCACTTGCCAAGATAATCCAGGATCAACAGGTACAATGTGAAAATGTGACTGCTGTGGAAGACCAAGGTCTTCCATAGCTGGGGTGAAGCTGTTAAGATCCCAGTCATGTAGGTCTGCATGTAGCTTCAAAGTGAGGGCAGCTTCCACATAGTTCTGGGCTTGGAGATGCATCTGCGGTGACATGATTTCAGCCCCTGTGTTTGAGTGATCCACGGCAGGACTTACATTGACCAGCTGATGCACATATTTGATGTATATCTCATCTCGGCCGATCTGCTGGATGAAGTTTATCAGATGAAGCTATAACAAAGACATCTCAGCAATGCCACAATACACATCTGAAGCGCATACCGTTGCAATCACTCGATCATCTGCGAACTCTTCTGATTCAGAAAGAGCACAAACACTGAGCAAGAGATCCAAAAACATATTGACCTCTTGCAAGAAGGTATCGACAAGGGCACGTAATTGCTCATCTATGTCTGATTCCTCAAAGAGACGATGAAGGTTTCCAATGAAGAATGCACAGGTAATATCATCACCTTTGCTGTCGGACATGAACAAGGTGTCCAAATTGCTGACCAGTTCATGCTCGATGTGGTTGAAAATGCCTGAGACGTGATACTTGGAGATGATCATACAGTAAAGGATGTGTACTGCAACCAACCGCAGCTGATCGTGGTGGCTCAGACACAGGTTCACAATGTGACCGACTAATGGATTTAGTGCAGCTTGGTAGTTCTACTTTAAAGCTGAGTACATTTCCTTGATTTCGATGAAGAAACATACCTCATGCACCGTCATCATGCCTCCATTCGCTAGTTCTTCAGACCATCCAAGGGCATCCCACATCCATGATAGGAGGGCTACTCCTTCTCCTCATATGTCTCCAGCAAGATGTCAGACCGTCCGACGTTTCTACAGATTATCTGAGTTCAGATCTCAGCTTTTGAGAAGGATACTCACCCGCGGGATAAATTCCTCTATAACCAAATGTTCAGATGAAAGCACTTTAAGAAGGACATTAAATGCCTCTCGCCAAATCTTTGAGTTGACCTCGCATCACAATTCTTGGTTGGGAATGAATTCATGTTCCATCAAGTTTATGATCGAATCCATCAGCTTGAACATGTCGCACAAGTGTGAAAGAAGCATGCTCTTCTGCTCGATGCCCTCACTTAAGCCAACCATGGGGTGGATGACCAGCGCAGCCATCCAGCATATCTCATCGACGGTGATGATGCATGAAGCAGAGGTGGCTCAAGCAAGCTAAGGAGCGATCAGATCCATCTACGTAACGTGAGAGTGTTGGTAAAGAGACCGGTGCCTGCGCCTCCTACAAATGCTAGATCTCACACAAGCAGCACAGATGGATGTCTCCAGATGTGAATGCCATGAATAGCTTTGCTGAGACTCGATAGTCATCTCAGGTGTGGAGTAATAGCCAACAGAGAAAACAACCACATACCAAGCAAAACATTGAATAGGTTGGATGTCTTCACACTGACAGCCGACGTCCCATGCTTGATCTGCTATCGATGAGAGAGTAATCGGAGATTATCAGGCCAAAAGTACCGTTTCAAGGCCTACCATGGAGCTGAACGGAGTAGCATACTAGGCATTATAAAGTGCGTCGTCGGTGGCGGCAAAGGCAGAGCGCGTTGGTGAGGTGAGATGAAAGACAGAGGCAGCCTATGAAATCGACTCATGAGCGAGACAGTTTAGCAGAAGCCCAACCATCGATATAATCCTGCATGCACCATAATATCCCTATCCTGGCATATCTCCTGTCATGACAACGTTTGAACTGTCACCCTGCTGCTCTGCGACAGCCGGATACCATACGAACACCCTTCCGCAGATGCAAGCTGACAGACGCTTCTCGTTCTCCATCTGCAATAGCATAGCGAGTGCAGAAAGGTGCATTTTTTCAGCCAGAACGAGAGCGGTCCAGTACTGCTTCGCGAGTAGGATGGTGATGAACGCGTTGACGGGTTGCGTAGTATTTGTGCTTGCAGTGGTTCAGTATCAGTGTGCAAGGATCGAGCATCATGAGGTCCCTGTCAGATGCTGAGAAGATAGTTGAGGTAGCAATGAATAGAGTGCTCTCTGGAAGCACTGATGGCGGAGTGAGGCGACTCGACTTCAGAGTTCACATTCAACGTTCAACGTTCAACGTTGCAACGTACGCACTGCGTGTTGACTCAAAATATCTTGGGGGGATATTGCCAGGAAAGTTGGAATGTCCTGGCAATATCCTGGAAATATCTTTTGAAACGAATATTCTGACGATGTTCTGGACAGGATAAGGCAAGATATGCTCATGTGATTGGTGCGTGTCGCACCTTTAACACCGCAGACACGAAGCAATTTGTGCACGTGGCAAATGCTTAGCAAATGTGTACAGGTTTTTTGCCTTTGTGATCTCGATTTGCTACAGTTCCTTCCCACATTCCATATTAAGTATTTGCATATAATATTTTAGAGGAAGAAATTTAATTTATATATTTTAAAAAATGACACCATTTTCAAACTCACCAAGGACATTTGAAATTTGAATGCCATTGAATGTTATACATACATTTTTGAAGTCCAAAACATCACACATATAAAAATGCCCAATAGCAAATAAATTTAAATTTTGAGTGCTGTTGAATGTAATTATACATTTTTGAATATAAAACCATCTCATATATAAAACACCCAGTAGCAGATGAAGATGACCTTCATAGTAATCTTGGTACGGAGTGAGACAGCTATACAAAATTAAAAGCCAGAGGCCTGCTTCAGCCACTCATTAGACGTGCCCACTGCCTATTTGAGATGCACAGCCACTGCTGCACTGGCCTGGGCGCTCTGGCAAACTGGCAAATACCATCAGACCGGCCCAGTGAGGGAGCGCCCAGGCCACTGCTGCAGCAGTGGCTGCATCTCAAATCGGCAGTGGGCACCCATGCCATCACAGCAGTGGGTGCTCCATCAAAGATCCCATCAGACCAGCCCTAAACTGGAGGCCTTGAATTACCCACAGATCTGCTACGGGCGCCTCTTCTCTCTCACTTCCGCTCCACCTCCTAGGCTTTCTTTGTGCACGCACCTTAGTGTAATAATGTAGCAGCTGATGAACTCAACATAGTGTAGACTTGTGTAGACTTAGTGTGGACGTTAGCCATGGATGTTAGTGTAGACTTGCGATAGAACGACCATTCATGAACTTCTGACAACTGCATCACGACCGTGTTATGACTCGTCTCGAATCAGAGAGAAAGGATGGATACAAAAATGAGGAATCGTCGGCACACGGAGCGCTACTCACATTGGTCGCTGAACGTTTTACGTCACCCAGCACAGGCAAAGTCTCTGCGGCAAAGGAGGAGGGAGCGAGACTCATATCGGTCACGTAACGGGTCGATACACGGTGGAAGCCTGACAGCGATGCACATCATCATGCTCTGCCCATTTATCCTGTGCATCATATGTAGCCTGCCCCTTGGCTGGTGCAATGCTCTCATCAAATGGATGCCCATACCGGCCCTACGTGAGATGCACGAAATCGTGGGCACACTCGACAATTCATGATCATTTAGCACTGTTGGCTGCCAGAGTTTCATTCACCCTTCAGAGACATGAAACGGATAGTGCCTGGAAGGAATCGTAGGGTGCGTAACAGATTTCTAGGAAATGAGACATGCACGTTGACTGATCTTTTCTCCACACCTGCTTTCTAGCAGTTGTCGATGTTCGATCTCGTGCCTTCATCTGCAACATATGACGAGGAATATGTGACCGTACAGCTTTGCGGCACTAACAACAGCGATCCGGAGGAGCAAGACTGCGGACCATCATCGCGAACGCCTTCGAAGTCACCGCAGAAGCATTGATGAGAGAATTGAGCAATCGAATCTTGGTGTGCAAGTTTATCGTCAAACGCCTTGCCTCGTGGAAAACAGCATTGGTTTGCTCACAGTAAGTGATTGGACATTAAAATCATTGTGATTCATCTGAAGGTATGGCGATATAGATCTCCAAGCTGCTGTTCTGCCGTCCACTTTCATGCACTTCTGTGGTGGTATCCTTCTGATCTTCCCCATTGCTGATGAAGAGGGAGCATATGTAGATTGCAATCAATCCTCAGACCAAGGTCTGTTCGTATACATGCGCTATGGATTTATTCTTATCATCTTTCCGGTCTGCCTCATCTGCTGTGGGCACAAAAGCACCTATCAACAGTTCTGAATATGCGCGTGCACGTCGCCAGCTTCTAGTCTCATTACCTCCCCCATGGAAGCATTCATAACGGTGATGAACGGGTTTTCTCACTTGGAAATTGATTGTTCGACATCAAGTTCCACAAAGGCGGCCATAGAAAGGTATGGCCATTTGGTTTAGCAGCACTATTACAAGCTCACACCTATATAATGACAGCATTCCAAGGCCGGAAGTTGTCAAGAGGATAATGAACGTCGATAGTATGCACTCTCGAGCGGAAGTGACTTGCGCACTTGCAAAACTCATATCGTGCGCACCTAGACTGGTTTCAATGAATCCAGAGGTCACAATCAGCGTGACTCCTCCTCTGAGCAAGGTCGTCCAGTCACTGTCTCTCGTGGAGGTGCATCACCGCTTGTGCAACTGCCAAGACCAATGGTGCCCTCTCCATATGTCAATGGCCCAACACACTTTGCAAAAAAAAAAGATTCCTCAATCAGCTAGATTGCACTGAACAGATGAAAGGAAAGTTGGTCGGACAGAGCTGTCGCAAATCATGCCACATACCATTTCAAGCCAAACTGTCTCAGCTCAGAAGCTCAGAGGAACTGCCTAGCAGACCTGTGCAGAGAAGGCCGAAGAAAAGACGGGCCAGTCCATTGCACACGCAGCCCCTTTACCATCCTCTCGCCGATGCTCTCCGTCTTTTTCTACTCATCTAGGAGCTAGACATGCGAGTTTGGACAGTCGCGTGAGCAGCGATCGTCGTTGTACCTGGATGAGAAGCGAGAGCGTGAGGGGAGTCAGGAAGCTCACGAAATATCTCATCAGGCACAGCACGTGAAAAGCGTGGCTCGAGAGGAGGATGTGAGGCTGAGAATGAGTTGGATTGTGATAGAGAGAGGGGTCTAGAAAGGTAGAGACTTCGTGATAGAGACAGGGAAAGAGAGCACAAAGGAGACAAGGATTGTGAGCATGATCGGGACAAAGACAGAGATTGGGACCAGAACGGGATAGACATTTCAGGGACAACAAGGACCGCGATCAGTCCTGGGGGGGGGGGGACATCATGAATGTTGCTTTCATGGCTTCTGTGCAAACTGTTCCCTCCATGGACAAATGTGGCCTCCTCACAAGGCTCGATCTACCAAGACATTGAGAGACTGAGCATCGAGAGGAAGCGTTAGGCAAGAGAAGATATGCAATTGATTAGTGGACTCAACAACTTAGCACAGGCCTAGCATAGAATCATGAGACATGAATGCATGACCAGCGACGGAGCATCAGTAAAGGGTCAGTGCAATCCCTTGATCACCAGTTTTGGCGGAGAGCCTTGCACACTCCAGGACCATCAGAACCCGCTACTGACATTGTGGAAATAATGGAATCAGATGGAGAGAAAAGGCACCTACTGTCGGCACAGATACAGAACGAGACTCGCGCTGACAGCACACGGAATGAGGCTCACATCGATACGTGGGTAGCATATGCGAATTAGGTTGATCATTCTAATAGTATGTCCATCCTCCCACCAGTGACATTAGGTGATTATTGTTTGTTCAGAGCATCATGAAGGTCACCATCCAATACTGCCGATCCGCTGCTATACAGCACCATCCAGAGTCGCTGGGACCCGCTAAACATCAAAGGATGTTTCCTGAGGTTTTCGTGCCATTTAGCTGAGCAGCTTATTGTCTGTTCTCGGTGCCCCCCCTTCGATCCAGAGCTGCTATTCAGAATTGAGCTAGTGTGATGGTTTTGATGGTACATCTGTCCTCCTGCCTGTATCTAGCTGAACAACTTATTGTATATTTTCAGTGCCCTCACCCAGAGCCACCGTCCAGAGTTGTTGGTGTCATCCGCTCATGCACCCTTTCCATGATGGGCAGCGTACATGAGTTAAGGTGTTCATTTTGATGGTACGTCCGTCCTTCCACCGGTTTCACTAGATAGGTGCTTATTGTCTATTAGGAGCGCCCTGAATGTCGTCATCCGTAATCGCCTTCCAATATCGCTATTCAGCACCATCCAGAGTCATTGGGACACTCTAAGCGTCGAAAGACAAGATTGTCAGTCGCTTTCCAGAATCAATCTTGCCATCTGACGGACTCGTCCTAATCAAGCAATTAAGATGTGATGCTTCTCTAATTGTCCATTCTCAGAGCCATCACCAGAGCATCCAAAATTGTCAAGACCCTCCCGTGAGTTGCAGGATACGAAAGATGCACGTGGAACTCTCTGAGGTGGGTGTTTCATGTCGTGCCCATTTATTGTCTTCTTACTTGTCCTTTCTAACTTACACCATTTCCTCATCTTCTCGCAGCATGACTGGCATTCGTGTACGTGAAGAATTCCATCGTTTACACTTTCATGTAATGTGTGCGACAGTTTACATTTAAGAAGACATTGTACGGCCATGATCTTTCTGTGAATACTGTGGCTGTCAGCCATGACGGTCTGACATTGCTCACAGGTGGTTTGTTTTCAACATACGCTGCTCACCCCCAGTTCTCACCCAAGACATTGCAGCTGATGATGGACGTGTTATTGTTTGGGATCTCGAGACCACGCGCCAGATACAGGACATATCATGCATGTTTCACGGCTAAGTGGTTTGCATATGCTGGATTGATCTTGGCAAGGGTGACAATCTGGCTTTCATCATTGGCTGTGCTGATGGCAGCCTGCAGGTTTATCAGAGAGTGGACTTGAAGGTGCATCTCGCCAGCAAATAAGCCATGCATTACCTACTGTTCTGCCACAGGCCCCCTTCACATACTGTTCTATGACGGTTGGCCACAAAGCCTTCGTTCAAAACATTAGCTATGATCACAGTAGTGGTCACATAACCAGTGTTGGCGGGGGCACAATTCAGCTGTGGAAGCTGATCACAGGCAGTTTGTCTCCATTTTCTATTTCTATAACAGTGATGTACGTGTGCCTCATGAACCTACACACAGGCTGTTTGGAGAAAATTTCTACAGACTTTGAACAGGAGGGAGTAATGGTGCAGAGCGTTCACTTTTTAGACAATGGAACCAACGTCATTCTTTGTCTCTGCGAGTCACATGAAGTGTATGTATCTAGGTCAGTGTTGTTCAACAAGCCCTGCTGATTGCCAACCCTTCATAGACTATGCTACAATGTGGACCCTTGAAATCTGCAGTGGGCTAAGCAGATCCCAACTCACATGTGCGTAGTCATCCATGTTCACTTACCCATAACCTCAAATGAATCCAGCGATCATTCTATGCTCTCTTTCAACGAGCAGTCTCTGTTCATCTCGAACCTTCTTTCTGGCATTGATCAATACAGACTGCCATCCATGGAGCGAACTCGTTCATATTCCTATCCAATTCTATGCAACTACATGATGCAAGTCAGCCTCTTCGACAACGAGGTTGTTATGGGTGGGGATGATGGTTTTGCACGAGTATTTGACATCAGGACTAGGCGATTAACTCAGATGCTCGACCATTCCCATGGTGAGCAATGTGCAGTGGCTTAGACGTGAGGTAATCTCACGCTTCGGTCTTCTTTCAGACACGACGCTGGTGCAGATTGTTTCTGTAGGTTAGATGCACCCTTTGCTCAGGCATAATGCTGACATCCTCGTAGACACATGAAAGTGAGCAGCAGTGCCTAATTGTGACTGCATTCACCGATGATGGCCCATCGGAGCTGAGGATATGGTCATGCGTAGGTTCATAAAAACAAATACATCTGACTTTAAGTTGATTGAATGCACTGTAGAACTTGACTTCTCAAAGCGTGGTGCCCTCGGCTTCTTTCACGTATTGGGTCCAATTGTTCCTGGTAGCATTTTCCACTGCCATGTTTGTGAGCTTTATTACTTCGAAAAGGCGTGTGGATCTGTGGCAATGGACCACAACGCAGGCACTGGGTGTGTTTGCAGTAGAAGCCGATGAAATTGTTGATACGTAGTGCCATTCACCGGCTTTCTCTCATTGTGTTCGATAAAGTTTGCTAGCATTCCTGTGGAAGCGGGTTTCAAGGCTTCAGTAATGACAAGCAAGAGACTAACTAGGCAAGTTAAGAGCTGAATAGCCACTGCCGCAGTGTCTGCAACCTTTCAAAGTTTGCAGGCTTGATGATCACACAATGTACGATGCTCACAGTGTGCAATAGGGAGTGCAGAAGATGTCTGCAGGGGCAAGCGATGAACTAGAGTGAGACTCATTCATTGCTTCCTACCCAGCATCGTGGGAACTGTACACAGATTTATTGCATGATTCAAGGTATTGCCACTCTCTTGACATCACCGCACAGGTGCTAAATCATTTTCTATTGAGACTCATGGATTAGCACCATCTGATTGTCACGGTAACACCGGACAAGAGATCAAAAAGACTAAAAAGGGACAGTCACGTGGAACGTGCCGCCCTGATCCCCCTGATCCCAAAAGTATCCCCCTGATCCCTATGTGGCGCAAGAGCCTGTTGACTTACTGGTCGATGTGGCAGATGCAGGAAAGGGTGAGAGATATATGAAGGAGCTGGTGAGCTCAGTGAGTGCTATGGGTAGTAGATGAGGAGAAACAATCTGAGGTTTCGTCCCCTACATGGCTGGTCTTATATACACGTACAGCAGGCTATCTTACCTAAGCTACCTATCTACGGGTATAAGCAAATGGCCGTACATGAAACAATAGGATGTCCGGAAGTAGAACAATAAGTGGGAAGATCGATGGTTGCCGCAGTAATGCGTGTGCACATCGTGCCTATCTTGATTTCCCTTTTGTTCTCCGGTGTGAACATCGTACCTATCTAGGCTTCTGGCTAAACTAATAGGAAGCGGAAGGCCGATGCATAACAATAGTCCTTGTTCCCTTTGTTCCCAAATGGGTGCCTCTATTGTATTCTGGAATAGACAGGTCCGACCGTATCATCCACGGGTCTGGACCATAACATGTGATGTGGACTATCACCTGATCTCTACGCATCGCATCTGTGGCTGAGTGGCGTGAGATATTGGTGAAGCACGTGATCTGTGGTGTGAGAAAAGTCACGTGCGGACTTTGTGGCGAAAATCTGTGACACTGATGCTGCCATCTAGGAATGCTCAGGATCTGCCAAAGATCTCCAGCTGGCTGCGAGTGATGCGAGAATAGCTGTCTCATATCTCCGTATCCCCAATACTGAGCCTTATTCCCTCCTTTTGTTGCTGTCTTAGCAGTCAACTGTGGGCAATGTAGTGTGCATAAGTTAGGCTGATAGTTTTAGTGGTACGTCCGTCCTCCCGCCTGTGATGCTATAGGTGCTTATTGTGTATCCACCACCGTTCAGGGCTACCCAGAGCTGTCAGGACCTGCTTAGCATTGAAGAATGAATATCCAGAATCATTCGTGCCATCTAGCTAAGCAACTTATTTGTTTTCCGTGCCAACCACCCAGAGCCGCCATCCAGAATTGTTGATGTCATTTCCAGATGCATCGTTTCCATTGTGGGCAGCCTTTATGAGTCAGGCCAATCGCCTTCAGGTACAGTCGCTTTCAGGATACGCAGACACCTGTTGTCTATTCGAAGTGCCACAAATGTCACTGTTTGATTCTGCCATCCAATGCCGCCGTCCATAGCTGCCGGGATCCACCAAACACCTCCAGTGGATCACCTGTTGATGCGAAGGACGGGAGATAATGAAATTGCTCTCGGTATCATCAGCACGTGGTGTTCAAGACATTATTGTCCGTTGACAGCTGAAGATGTGCTCCACCAAGAGCTGCCCTGACCGGCCAGGTGCATGCTTACTGCCGAGCATGAGAAGCTCTATTTTTTTGGCTTGTGAACATGCTGTCGAAATCAATGCAGATAGCCACGCATATATAAATGCGGTGTCTTCATGTTCGATGGGATGTCAGCATGTCAAATCATGGGCTTGGTTCTCAGCTTGTTATTTCCCTTCTGGTGGAGGATTTGGGTTGTGTCTGCAGACACTGTTCCTGTGAGTTCAGCTTCATAGTGTACGATCGCTGATCTTGATACTACGCACACATTTCCAGGTGGCAGATGAGAAGTTTGGCTCAACAGACAGCTTCATATCCTCTGATAATGATGGTGGCATTTGTCTCGTTAATGATCTCAGCAAATCCTTCCTCTCCGTACGCAAGTCAGTGAATAATCGCATGAAGGGTAACTAAGTCATTGTGATCTCATTGGATTGTCACTTCGGAGAGCCTGAATCATCCTCCATCTCACCCTCCGCTGTGATGCCTGAAGATTTGTCTATTCTTGTAAGTGAAATGATACCATTTTTATCGAAAGGTACCATCTGAGTTCTGACACAGTCACCTCTCCTGTACGAAGCGGAGGAGAAAACTGACATATTTTCTCATGTACTGACCAAACTAGTCATTGCAATCGTGAAGTTGTTGCCAGATGATGATCTCATCAGTTTCATGATGATATCGTGCTGCTTGCACTTCATCGGTGTTCCAATCTATCTGGATCACTATGGCGTACACATTGAAGCCGAGAAGAACGATTTCACTTTGTCTGGATGGAGATGCACTTCCATTCTAGGTTTTTGGTGTTATTCTCTTATTTTTCAATGCCCGACGACTCTACGCATCACATTATCTGATGATTCCATCAAAGACGGTCAAATCAGTCATTTCCTTTTGTTCTTGCAGTGCATTCCTGCATTGAAAACCGTGCAGCTCAGATTCATGGTGACTCCACATGCAGAACTAGCCCAGCTGTTAGAGAGCCTCGAGGGCACGGCTGTCGTAAATCTTATGGTTTGGCACTGCAGTTTCGAAGTCTATCATCTGTTCAAACTCACGAGATGTGTACCACCTCATTCTCCGCTCTCCCTACCTTCACTGAAGGTTTTCGAGCCTCAGGCATCTGCACTATTCGATGCCTCGCTTTATCGATGGACAGTGGCGAGGATTAATGCCTCCAACATCACTGAACTCACTTTGAACATCCTGGGCATCGGAACACCTCCTTGGACTCATATTCTTGAGTGACTCGCAGTGCTGACCTTGCAGGTCCTGCAAATTGAGGGTGAACTCACGCAGCTCATGCTTGATCGATTCCTACATCGTCATGATGACCTTCGCAAACTCCATATTGGGTTCCACTCTCATTGTGGTGGCGCCACATGTCGACACTGCCTCCTCCCTTCATTGCCTCGACTGCAGATCCTGGATGGCCCGCTTACAGCTTGCACAGTGGTGCACAGAGACAGTGGTCTCCTGTCCTCCACAACCTACCACTTCTACTTCACAAACTAATCAAGTTCTTTGCTCTCACTGTTGAACTCACTTGACTGACCACTGGGACATTGCCACTGAGACAGTACATCCATCTCCTGAGATTCCTGTACTCTGTCTGGAAGTCATTAGACTCACTCTGGAATCATTCTATTACATGTATCTCACATACATCACCCCGGCTCGTACACTCTATGTGGCTGCTGGCCTTTTGGCTGCCTTGTCTGTTCACCTCTTCACCATATTTTATATTTGGCTCTTGCATCACCTCTAGATGCAGACCTTCCCTGCACTGTTCCCCCTTCATTCCACTTGGTTGTTTGCTGTCATTTCACAGCTAGCTGAGTACTTGCAATCACACTGTCTCTATTCACCTTGGGCTGCAGTTGCAGAGACTTCAGCTGATAATGCTTTGAGGGGTGGCTGCGAGTCATTCGGTGTTGTGCTTGAAATGGAGCGGTGAGTGATGATTGAGACTAGGGCAGTATCCCTGACTTTGGATAAGTTGAGAGATGGGTGGATCATGTGTATGGGTTTAGTAGAGTGCGACTCGAATGAGCAGGCATAGAGGTGTGAGGATCAAGTGGTGATGTGGGTCTTTGCCTGTCTAAGCTAGTGTCTTTGAGCACTATAGGCAGCTCTCCCCATCACTACAGACAAGGTTTGGGCACTCCCTAGATCCCCAGAACATCTATACTATGCTCCCCAGTGCTACAGATGAGGTCTAGGTGCTTGCTGAAGCTACGGAGTCTGATAGAGATGAGAATCTGAGTTGTTGGAGCTCATGACTGATGGCATGACTTATCTGGGTGCTACTCGAGTCGTGTTGTGGGCCACTTAAAGAGAGTGCTGCCCTAGCTGGTGTCAAGAGCTAACAAAGCATTGGTTTCAAGCATAGATGGGTAGAACTGAATAGGGCACTCCACCCTATTGTGAGGACAATGTAGAACTGAGAACTGAAGGGTGAACACTTTGTTATCTTCGTGCTATGTACACAAGCCATTATATAGGTGTATAATGACATTTTCTAGTGTAGCAGAAGACATTTCTGATTCTCTGAAACAGTCCTTAGACGTTCCCCACCTCCTTCTCCTCATCACTTGCAGTTGGAAAACTGGAAGGTATGGGCCCTCAATGGTCTGGTGGTCTGCTGCCCTGTGAATCTCTCGCTTAGAGTGCATTCTCATTTTCATTCTATCAAACTCCTTCTGCTCCACCCTTATTCTTTGTTCTTGTAATCAGTGGTGCTAGCATGCAGGTCCTGGCTCATT